ATTTTAAATGACACGACCACTATTTTTGGATTGCATGCTTCTATCTCATTCATTGTCTCCCAGTACCTGTGCGTGTATTCTCGCAACGTCTCCCTAGCTCTCTTCTTTAAAGTCAATAGTGCCCCAACATCTTTAAGTTGTCGGCTACTGGTTATGAACCGAGACATAAACTGTTCGGCCAGATGACACCAGCTATTTACTGGCTTCCTAGGGAGCCCATCAAACCATTTCATTGCCGATTCACCAAGGCTACTGGGAAATATGGTACAGAGCAGTGGTTTATTTTTTCTGTGCACCGTCATCAATTGCCTGTAATGGCGAATGTAAGCAGTGGGGTCTATTTTGCCATCATATAGTTTAAAGCTCTAAATAGCAAATTTGGTCAATATCCGAGCTCGATTTATCCATTTGGTGAATGGTGAAATTTCTAATCCTCTTGTGTATCCTCCGGTTGCTCTGTGTGTGAGATCATGCGCGAACCTTTGCTTGGGTCATTTTAATCGAAATTGCCTCCAATTCTCCTAATCATCTGGCTGTTCTATTTTCTTATGGTACCGAGCCCTCTGAGGATGTGTTCTCGTTCCCTATATGTCAGGTGTTCGGTTCTGCCTCCTATGGGTTCAGCGATTCTCGTGATCCGAATCCTTTCTCTAACTTATTTTTCTTATTTTCTGTTTCAATTCTTTGTTTTCTTGTTTCAAGGCCTTCTCCCTTGCATATGATTTTCTGAACAGATCATTGTGCATGTCAAGGTGGTCTTACAATGACTGGACCAACTTCATGATGGCAAGAGTATCCCTCTCAGCACAGAGAGCTCCTTCTTGCGGTTCATTATGCCGATTTTGGTCGGCTGCAGGGTTAAAACTAGCGAAGAAAATTCTATCCTCCTGTTGTTCATCCTAACTGTCGTAAATATCCACCTGGATGTCACTTTCAGAAGGAAATGAAATGCGGTAGTTTGGATCTAAGTCTTCGTGCTACAGATCGGGCTTTAACGGCGATCCTAGCGTGCTCTTTAGTCTCAACATGACTTCTTGTTACGAATTCCCACAGACGGCGCTAAATGTAAGAGGTCAAAAAGCTCCCATACCTCTTAGAAAGCTATGCAACTCCCACATTGGATTCAAATTTCTGCAAAATGAACAAACTACCTAAGATCGAAATGCTTCGATCGAAGACACTCCGATGCTTAAGTCAATAAATGAAAAGAAAGAATTTAACTTTTGTTAGAAGAAAATTGCGTACCTATATTATCCTCCTTTGCTGGCTTATATAGTCTCCAGCTGAAATATCGTTCTGGAAATAAACACCTATCCCATAAGATTTAGCATTTTCTGCTAGGTCTCTTCCTGATTTCTCGAACGCTCCTTTGATTGTTGCTTAGATTGATACAATTAGATTGAACATGGGCTTCGATATTGCCATTCAATTCTTATCTTCCTAATCGAGGGACTTCTACTCGACCCTCCTGCCAACCTGGTCAATTCACCTCTGGCTCCGTAGGGCGTAACCCCTCACATGACCCTTGCGTGACCAATATGCCCCTTCAGTTGCCAACTAAAAATCCTTTAATTAAGGTTACTATATCTAGTGTTGATGGTGCAATTTATTTTGTTTGCATAAATTGCAAATTAATGTGCAGAACTTTTAAGAGTGTGAGTGTGTATAGAAGAATTGTGTGACCTAGATCCAAGCCAACCAAGAACATAAAGTGGCTAGGCAACCACCAAAAAGGGATACAAGAGGACAATTATTATTAAATCCTACATTGGGTAAGAAGATACTAATCCTTAATGCTATGTCATTGCTTCTAGAAGGTCACATCTTACCTAGGGGAAAGAGCTTCTAACTACAAAATATTCTATCATATTATAGGGATCACGCCATATATGTGTACTGCCTTAGACACGAAATCGATACCCCAAGGGTAATCTCCTTTTTCTTCCTCAAGCAATAATAAACCAGAGGAGAAAAAACCTTTATTACAATGAATTAACCTAACTCTTCAACAAAGTGAACCACTTATTTTCTTGTATGTACTCTCTTATTTCATCTCATACAGGTGATACAACTCACCAAGAGCTCTATCAACTCTTTTAACTCTGTCTTCTCCATTTTTCACACCGTCAAATATAATCATTGTAGATCATACAAATTGGTTGAGATAGAGTTACAAGAGTGATTTATTGTGTAAGAACCATGAGTTTAGTTCATGAAGAATTCAGTCAATTCCTTTTGCTTAATTTATGTTTTGCAGTATCTATTTCCTATTTTTTTTTCTAACAAAGGCATATTGGTGGTGGGGCATGGCAAATTACTATATTTGTGTATGAGATAGGGCATTGTGGTGGTGGGAAGGGTGCTCTAGTGGTGCTTATATGCTTCGTCTGTGATAATGTGGGTATGGCTATTTGAGTTAGAAAGTAATAGATGGTGACCTATTGATTGGCATATGTTGGAATTTGACCCAAACTCCCTTAGTTATCATGAAAGAGAGTTTGTTGGATAATCAATGTGAGAATCCTATATGAAATAGAATTATATTGGAAGAGTTTTAATATACCATAAATAGAAATGTTAGACATGTGATAAGAAAAATAAAGATTAAATTGTATCTAAATAGATTTATGTTACAGTATTTTATCCGTATAAATAAGGTTGAATATTATGTAATCAGTTACCAGATGACCAGATTTCAATGAATAATACATCAATGTAGATTCTTGGTCCGGGGATGTAGGTACGGTGTACCAAGGTGGGTATGCTGTATCGAACCACGTTATATCTTTATGTCATAAATTTATTATTTTTTTTATCTTTGAATTTTTATTTTCAAAGTATTATTTGTGTTAATTATCCGCTGTGCAAAACCAACAAGTGGTATCAGAGCTATGTTCTAACAAGTGGTATTAGAGCTATGTTTCAACAAGTGCTATTAGAGTTATGTTTCAACAAGTGGTATCAGAGCCAAATTGACGTTCCTGGTGTAACAATCAAAGATAGATTGATGATTTTGGTAGAACAATCAAATTTAGATTGATGATCTTGGTGCAACAATTAAAACAAGTTATTAGAAATTCAATGATCAAGTTGGTGTTCATGTTGAAGAATACTCTCTTGTCACATATGTACAATTCATATTTAGATTCAAAAAAAAAAAAAATAAGTTGGTATGAAATCAAATGGAAGACTAAGTTGTTTTCTGATTGTTTGGATTTTATGAATTACTACACGTGCTTTGTTGAAGATGTTTCTTTAGGTTTTTTTGGCTCTTAGAGTTGAAGTCGCAGTATTACAATGATTTGGGAACTATTGGGCTGACATAAACTCAATAATGGTAACTTTGTGTCTCGTGGGTTACGAGTCACTATGTTTTTATTTTGGAATGGTGAAGCATTGACCATTGAGACCTCTCAAGAGCAAGTAAGATGCAGACAAAGATTCACAGATGATACACGCCAAGACGCAGGTTCTTGAAAGATAGAGAGGATTGTGGCAACTCTGAAGAGCAGTTTTGTGTGTAGTGCTTGAAAAATTTGGTGAATCAAAATTAAGAGTGATATGCTCGATCTTGGGCATAACCAAAATTGAAGAGTTTGGTTCAAGGGAGGCTATTGGAATTTGACCCAAACTCCCTTAGTTATCGTGAATGAGAGTTTGTTGGATAATCAATGTGAGAATTCAATATGAAATAGGATTATATTGGAAGAGTTTTGATATACCATAAATAGGTACGTTAGACATGTGCTAAGAAAAATAAAGATCAATTTATATCTAAATATGTTTGAATTATAGTATTTTATCCCTATAAATAGGGTTGAGTATTACGTAATCAGTTATCAGATGACTAAATTTCAATGCATAATACATCGATGTTGATTTTTGGTCCGGGGATGTAGGTATAGTGTACCAAAGTAGGTATGCTGTATTGAGCCACATTATATTTTTGTTTCATATCTTTATTGTTTTTCTTATCTTTAAATTTTTATCTTCTAACAAGTATTATTTGTGTTAATTATCCGTTGTATAAAACTAATAAGTGATATTAGAGCTATGTTCCAACAAGTGATATAGAACTATATTTCAACAAGTGGTATCAAAACTATGTTCCAACAACATATTGCTATGCCTATGCGTGCATGTGATGTTTGGTGGCGGTTGGCAGTTTGCTATGCTTTAATTGGGTTTGTACAGGTGATGGATTTGCTTGGATCGGTTTTCCTATTTTTGGGTATGGAGAGAAAGAAAGAAAGATATTAGGGGAAAAATAATTATTTGTGAAAAAGTTGGATAATGCGGCAACTTTTGCTAGTCTTTTTAGCCGTGGAATAATTAGAGAGGCACAATGTGAAATAATCCCAAACCAGAGGGGGTGTAGTGTAATTTTAACATCTTAAGGACATTTCTTGCAATTATCAAATACCAGCGGGCATACAAATATATTTTTTTATTCAACGATATCTTAAGGCACTTAAACGAGTGAATCCATTTAAAAAAGTTCACACACCCATTAATCCAAGTTCCATAGCCATTTAGAAAAAGGCAAAACGAAGCAATAAGAGTGGAATTGAAAAACCACGCGTCGTCGTGCCCTCCTTCCCCTCCCCTCCCCTCCTTAAGGAGTTTTCTTTAACAATCCTCACAACCCTTCTTTTCTCTCTCTGTCTCTCTCTCACCGCACCAGAAAGATTTCTTTCAAAATCTTGTCACCACCACTACCAACAGAATCAATCAGAAGAAGGTATAGATGTTCTTTTCATTTTTGTAACTTCTTAAACAAAATTATGTGCTCGATGAATTTTCTTCGCAAATGATTTTATATGTAATCTTCACTAATTTTGATTTGCCAATGGTATTAGCTTTACCTCTATAGAATCTGAAAAACTCTTCATGTTTATCTGCAACTGCAGGGATATTTTATTTGATTCTAAAGCGTCTTCGTGTTTATCTGCGAATGATTTTCATTTGAATCCTCACCTCATCATCATTCACTCTTGATTATGGGGTCGTCTTCGACTTCGATCTCTGATCTCCAGCCGAACTCCAACTCCGACCGATTGCCGGAATCGAAGCAAAAAAGGCGAAGAAGAATCGCAACTGACAATGAAATCCAAGATGTCCAAATCAATCAAACACAATGGAAATCCCCGTTCGAACAACAGATCTACTCAACCAAGCTCATCGAAGCCCTCCGTCGAGTCCGCCGGAACCCAAACTCTCCGGCCTTTTCTCCCTTCACGACTCGCGCCGTCCGAGAGACAGCCAACCAAGTGCTCGCCGTTACTGCCAAAGGAAGAACTCGCTGGAGCAGAGCCATTATAACCGCTCGGCTCCGATTCAAACTCAATCAAAAAAGTAAAAATCACAAGAAATTAGGCAAGCTGGCCGGCGATGTCTGGTCGAAGAAACGGTTGGTCAAGAAGAGGCTACCGCCGTTACAGCGAAAGGTCAAGGTTCTCCGCCGGTTAATTCCCGGCTGCCGGAAACTCTCGTTCCCGATTCTTCTAGAAGAAGCCACCGATTATATAGCCGCTTTAGAGATGCAAGTCCGAGCCATGACCACTCTCGCGGGACTCCGCACTGGCTCAGCCGCCGGGTCTTTAGCCGCCCCTTCCGTTCAGCTCGGCTCCAATCTCTGTTAGCCATGGCTTATTACTTTGCCGAGGTGGTTTTTCCTAAAGCCTTGTTAATTACCGGGATTATAAATCCGTGTATTTTATTGTATAAGTGACTTTTTCCTTCCCTCTTTTGGGTTCTTTAAAATTTTTAAATTTTGATTATATTTATTTATTGGTTGATTGAATCAAGCCAACTAATTTTGTAGTTATTATTTATCTAAACAGACATTTGTTTCCACTAACCTAGACAACGGCTGCACAACAATGTTTGGGTTTGCATGGGACAACCTATAATTGGTGGTTGCGGGTTTTAGCCCCATTTACTTCTCATCCTTCTCCCCCAAAAAATGTAATTGGATTGTCATATTAAACCATTACCATCATGTCCCTTTTGGAATTGTGTTTACAAAGATAAATTTGAGTTGTGCATAAACACCCACAAATTATATGTATTATGTTTGTCAAAAATCTCTTATTAAACTTGAAATAAGAACGTCGAGTTAATAAGCCCTATGGCCTCCTTGTCCGAGCAAATGTGATAGGTTACTTGCAAAGGGTTGGTAAGGCCTACTAATTTTGTGTTTGAAATTGGATCATGTTTTCATGGTTACCTGAGTTATGTAATCTTTTTGGTAATCATGTGAAACATAGGGCCTTATAGGATTTTTTTATTTTTTTTACTATAGGATTACCTTTTTCCTTTCACACGAGAGCAAGCCTGCCTCAAAGAAAATGAAAAAAAAAAAAAAAAAAAGGGAGACAGCTAAGAGGGAACGTTCAACATTAAAAAAAAAAAAAAAAAAAAACGGAGCTTGGGTCGGCAGGGCATGCTCTTATCGTAAGATACTATGATTCCACTCTACTTTTGGGTCACTTGTTTGATGAGCTAAGCCTACACGCCACATAAGTCCAATAGTTAACCTCACAACTAAAAGTAAGGTCCTCTTTTTTAACTAGTGTTTCGGTTTAATGGCAAAAAGTAAATCTCGACTTCAAGTATAATCACAAATAATAATAAGTGATAAGTAAGTGCATGCGTGGAGTGAATCACAAATAGTAATATGTGATAAGTGCATGCATGCATGCATTCAGTGAATCTCAATCCCTTTTGTATTGTATAGTGGTTATCAAATAGATAAAGGGTGGTCTTACTTTGTGAAAAGTAAATCATACTATTCCACCTTAGCTCATCTATAAATAGGGTTTCCATATTTTAGATATGAGTAATATTATTTGAACCTAAAAATTTGATCTAATTTTCTGACATAATGATATGACTTCATAGAAATTATTGGATCAATACTAAGTTTCAATGTTTAATGGGATCTACATTGAATCCAAATGTCACAGTAAATTAGGTCAACAAATTATGTCAGTAAATTAGGTCTCAATAACATTGTTCTTTAGTATTTTGCCTATTCTTCATTTCCCTTCATTAATTTTTGTTTTGGACAAAGGCAACTACTGGAATACCATGCCAGCCCGCATACCATATAGCTGTGGTTCAAAAGTTGAGTTTAAATAGAAATATGAATTTTATAAGTTTGTCACACATGAGTTTTTGATAAATATTTAAATTGCTAAATACTATACAAACATGAACAGGGCCTCTTAGAGTGTATACCAAACTCCTCCTCTATTTGGGTCCTTTTGTAGGTAGTGTTTGGTATTGGACTTCTTGGCCTTTTTAGGTTCTTGTGATTGCGGTATGATGTTGGCTAAAGTAGTAAAAAATTGTGTTTTCAATTTTTGCCTTTTCATCAAAAAATAATATAAAATGCTCCTCCATGTATGTATTTTTTTTGATGAACAAGAGTCAAACTACAAACACAACTCCTTAAAAAGAAGAGGTGGGTTATGTCCACCCCTAGAATGTATATAATACCATGAGTTCTATATTATTAATAAAGGAAGAGGTGGGGGTTATGTCCACATATATAATACCATGATTTTTTGCATAAAATTTATAAAGAGTAATGCTACACTCACCAAAAGGGGGATAAAAAAAAATGATCAAATGATGTGACATTATCACAATGAAAAAAAAATTAAATTTCAAATGTATAAAAGTCCGATCACCAACACTATTATGGGTAATGTCACATTACTTGGTCTATTTTTTTTGTCAGTCTAACATTATTTAGTTAAAAAGAGAGGAGGTGATTTAGTGTCTACCCCTAGAATGTACATATGACCCTCAATTTTTTCCAAAAGAATTATTCATGACTTTTGATGGGTCAAGCCCAAGAGCTTAACTCATGTTATAAGCTCAAGGGCCCAACTCCAAGAAGTCTAGTTAGTCAAGCCAAAGAAGTCTGTAACCAGTCAAGCTCATCAGGTTCCAAGACTTACATCAGTAAAGGAGCAAGTAGTGTCGTCTAAGAGCTCAACTAAGAGTCTCTTCTACCACCTTGGAGTAAGGGTCAGCAAAGAGCCTCCTCACTACCTTAAAGTAAGGGAGCATCTAGGAGCCTCACCCTCGCCGCTCGGAGAGAGTCAACCTTCCCTCATTCTTTGACCAAGTCATTTGAGAGGATCATAACTTCTTGACCCATTGAGGAGAGGAGAGGTCGCTAAACTATTTAATTATCGTTAAAGTCACCCCAATCTGTTATGACTATTAAACGGTTCCAACTCGTTATGACCATCAAACTAGCTATTCAATTACTATACTAATCCATTATAAATTGTAAGTCCCATCAACACTTGGGGGGCATCAGATTCATTCGAGATAATTCTCTCCTCCTCTCTCAAAGCTTGTAACTTATTGCTCTCCTTGCACACCGGAGTTAATAAAATACCAGCGACCCTTACCATTCAAAGTGGACGTAGGTCACATTGACCGAACCACTATAAACCTTGTCTTCCCTCTCCCTTGACTTCTCAATTACTGCATTTTATATTGCTTACTTGACAGGTGGTATGCAAACCAATTTGTGAATTATCAACTTCCTCTTCTAATTTTATTGAACTGTTATTACTCATGAAACATCAGTTCATTTTTTTTCCCAAATAACCACTCAATTTTCTTTTTAACCTTATTACATTTTCTAATTCTCTTTTCGCATGGATAACCGTATGTGTAGAACTTGTAGTTGCTTTTAGTAAAAGGAGAGAAGAGTTATATGGTGTCCCCTCCATATAAAAAGTCACAACATTCTTACTCTCTTTCCCCTCCCCCCCAACCACCCATAACTCTTTCTTGAACTACATTAAACCGCCTAGGTTATTATAGCCACCCCTATTAGAAGTAAATATTGAATGTAACAGTTAGAGCATATCAACATTATCACATAGTGTAATTGTTCATTGTTAAATAAACAAATGTACAAGGTGACCCCACTATAACCATCTATCACTAACAACCTAAAATATGGTGATGTCATAACAACATAATTTTTAAATACCAAATTTACCCTTTCTTTCCCATCTTTTTCTCTTACTTTATTGGAACTACACCACCCACCCATCTCCTGCAACCACCTAAGTTGTAAAACTACCATGGTAGGGTAGTGATGGTTTATTTGTGTTAAATTGTGATGTGCATAACCTACAACCATTGTCCATCCAATCCCGTGGATACCCAAAGAAAATGCAATACTCTCTAAATACAACTTCACTTGAATGAACATGTTTGTATCTAGCAAAACCAAAGCTATGAAACCAATGGTAAAACCCTCCCATATTTTACATTAATTCCATTCCATGAATGTTTGGCTTCCAAATCCAACAGCCAATGCAATCAACAAATTCAATAAAAACTCAATTCAATCAACCAATCATAATTCAATTAGGTCTCTATAGCGAAGCAAGGTGATGATCCTTCAAGCAACCTTCCCCCCTCTCCTCAAATCACTCAAGAATACTTGTAGACATTTAAAATTTAGCAAATAAAATAATAAATGATTGTAATTTAAGATTTTTTTTATATTAATTTATATACGAAATTTGATGTTACAATACTATTTGTTAGTACACCTTGTCCAACAAAAACAAATAGATCCACCAACACTAAATTTAACAATTCAAAAATTCATCCAAAAAACAGATAAATTGTGAAACCCAAGCATGCAGAATGTTTTATTTTATAAATTGTGTGGGTTAAAGTGAAATTTATGGAAATTTGAATTTATTTTAAATTGTGATAATTAAACTCTGGGAATTAGAGCACGTTTTAATTGAGCAATGTAATTGTAGAATTATGAGGTAGTGGGGAGCAAAGTGGAACTTTGGAAGTGTCGAGAATACTTGAGTAGTTAAATTAAGAGATAAGCAAAACATGAGGAGGCTTTAGTGTAAATGAGATAATTCTTGCATGAAAAGGACACCCGGGATGTGTCTTGTTTCTTCATCCATGTGCTTTGAGAAAAAAATATAAAAAAGGAGAAAATGGTTTTAGGCGGTGAGTGGAAGGAAATAGAAGAAGAGAAGAAAAACAAAGGAAAGGAAAAAGAAGAAAACTTAAGGGTTCGGAGAGTGAGATTCGTTGGAGTTGCTCTTGCATGTGCTCTTGAGTGAGAGAAACCTTCATCTTTGAGAGTTGTATGATCCTTGTGTGAGTAAAAAAGTGGTGTAGGGTTGTGTTGAAGCATTGAAGTGAATTCAAAGCTCTTAGGTGGGAAGTCGGAGGAAAATCAAATGAATTGGGTCGCAATGGAGGTACGAGATTCTCATGAATTTCTATATATTTCTACTTCTAAATATGTCCTTTAGGCTTGGGTAGATGTTATGTGGTGTTAAAATTGGAGTTGGGTGGAAGAGGAAGAAGTTTGGACTAAATTCTGGAGTTTTGGTGTTGTTCAACCGGTTGAAGCATGTGGTTGAACCAGTTGAACATTTGGTGATGAATAGGTTGACTAGCTCCCAATACTTTGGTGTTGAGTCTGATAAACCGGTTGAACCAGCTGGACTTCAACTAGTTGATCATAGCCTCTCCGACGTCTTGTCTATCTTCGCTTAGGTTCTCCACTACAATGGATCCTCTAGGCCTAGGCAATCTTGGGCGCACCAACGATGCTCAGTAT